TTTTTTTTTTTTGTGCAGTGGCTGATTTTTTGGAAGTAGATCATCAGATCGGAGGTGCCCTTGGGTGGACTCAAAACTTCAACCTTGGTTAACAGCCAAGCACATTACCTGTTTGTGCCACCCAGGGACTCACGATAAATGTAGTAAGGAGGAAAGAGCAGGGTCTTTTAAATCAGATAGGACTGTATTTGAATCCTACCTTTGCGATTGACCATCTGGGTGACCTTGGGGATATCGCCTAACATCTCTGAACTCCTAATATCACCTACCAAAGAGAGTCTAATTGTAAGGGGGAAAATTAAACAAGAAAGTGCCTTGTACACAGCCTGGCGCATAGTTGGTGCTGAACAGTTGTTGCTTTCCCTCCTTCAACAAATGCTTTTTGACCCTCTTCTGAGGACAGGGGTTAGTCTGCCTTGTTTGTGGCTATAAACCTAACGCACATTAACTGGCACATTAAAAAAACCCAACGCATTGCCACTGAGCTAGTCAGAGAGAAGACAGTTCTTCAAAATGTGCAGGCCTGCAGCTTGAAGCTTCTGACAAGACACGGATTGCTGGGAAGTCCCTGTAGCCTGCAAACCTGCCCAGTAGACAGTGGTCAGGCTGAAGTCCCAGGTCACCTTCTATTTGGAGCTATTAGTGTTGTTCTCCGGGCTTTGAGAGGTTTTAAAAAGAGTGGGTCAAATGACCTGTTAATGGCTCAAATAGTTCTCAATTAAGTGTGAAAAGTTGTCAGTGACCTGTTAAGTATGTAAAATGAAGGCATTCTTCCTCAAGGCCATTAAATTCTTTGCTTCCTTGTGTTTCTGCTTTGGACTTGTGTGTTTTCTGTCATCCCATTTTCAGATGATTGGTGTGGTCAATTTGTGGGTTGGCGTGAGGTGCCAATCAAGCCTAAGTCATGGGTTTACTCTCTTGAAGATCACTTAGTTACACTCAGAGAGAAAATATCCCAGGACTCTAGCCTACTCCCTTCAGCATTTCCGTCCTTTCACAAAGATGCATGTTATTTGCAGACCTAGATGAGGAAGTGTTGGTTATTCTTGGTAAACCAGCTCAGACCATCAATCCAGCCCATCACTGATAGCCAGTTCAACCAGGA